TGCCAAACCCTAAATCATAGAATATTATGACTCACTCTTTCACTCATCTATGTTTAAAACAATTCAATTTAATTATATTTTATATAGCACTTAAAACTATTTATAATTACATGATTTCAATTTTTCACTTATAAAAATATTATTTACCAAATTTATAAATTATTTTTAAGATCAGCTATACCAGACGACTTCCCTAGACATCTTCTAGGTGACTTACAATATCTTAGAAGACTTAGAAGACTTCTGAGACTATATTTAATGTTTTTTTTAAAAAAAAAAGTGGCCGGAAAAATAATTTGTTTAAGCGGGAAAATAATTTTAAAAAACAAATTTAGGCAGGAATATTAGAAGACTTCCCTGTAAGTCATCTAATTTAATACTATTCCCCAGAAGACTTTGTGGAAGTCATCTGGACCGTAAACATAACCCCCAAACTAAATTAACTAACTAAAAACTTCATTAAATCAAATTAAACTTAAGAAGTGTTTAGTATACACAAAAATAAACACATATAGGTACAAATTTAATTTGTCAAAAAATATTTAAGATTTCTAAAATCTAACCTTAAGAATACATACAATACTACATATCTTGCCAAACCTAAGCCAAAAAATATCATAATTAACTACTTTCACTTTTCTATGTTGAAAACTATTCAATTTTATTATATCTTAATTTTATATCACTTAAAACTGTTTATAATTACATGATTTTGATTTTGCACTTGTCAAAATATTTTTTTTAAAAAATTTAAAAATTATTTTTAAGATCAACTACACTAGACAACTCACATTATCTCAGAAGACTCAGACAACTTCCCAGGGCTATATTCGTAAAAAATGAGTTCTAGTTTTTTGTTTGGTCGAAAAGAGATGACTGTAATTTCACAAGAATTTTAGGTTAGTTTTGCATTTGATTCAAGTTTGGGTATATATTTGCATTTCAAATCCAGTTGTGAGTTAGTTTTGGCAAATTCCCCAAAAAAGAAATCTAGAATAGGAAAAAAAAAATTTCTATTAGATTTTATTTGTGTTTATAATATTCCACATGTTAAAGGAAATTGTCTTTCATATAAATAGAGGTCTAATGAGAGGTGTTTCACAAGATCTATGAGAGTAGATCTAACGATGTAAGAGAAACATATTGAGAGCTTTAGTTTTAAGAAGTTTCTAAAGCTAATAAGAAAAGTTGTTCTTATAATTCTTCTTTTTCTAGAGATCTGAATTTGTATTAGAGCCTCACGTTGGAGACTCGATCTAAGATTGAGTTGAAGGTTTGATCCTGGTGGCTGTGAAGTAGAGATCGCGAAGGTAAGATTGGTTGCGTGACTAGGGCTACACCACACTTGAAGAAATTTGGATCTACATCCATCCAATGTCCAATGTTAAAGTCGACAAAGTACACAGGTTGGTCGATGATGATGAAGGTTATGATGCGTATTCATGAAGTTGTGGGACAAGATAGAACCAGATGATCAAAAGAAGAACAGTGTTGTGACTGCTCTTTTGTTTCAATCTGTTCCCGAAAAACTTGATTCTCCAGGTGGGAGAACAAGCTGCTTCTAAAGACATGTGCTACACCATCAAGTCACAACACCTTGGAGTTGTTCGTGTAAATAAGGCGAGACTTCAGACGTTAGTCGTAGGAATGCCGAGTGTAACATATGAAGAAGGTGTGGTGACGCATGTCTCGCTGGGAAGCAAATCAGACACTCATTTCTTAGTGTAAAACACAGAGATGGTGTGTGTGACGCATGTCTGGCAAGAAAGCAAGTCAGACACTTATTCATGAGTGTAACACACAAAGAAAGCGTGTGTGACACATGTTTACCAGAGAAACAATTTAGACACTTATTCTGGAGTGTAATACACGAAGAAAGCGTGTGTGACACATGTCTAGCAGAGAAATCAGACATTCTTCCCCGGCTATACTATTGAAGAAGAAGCATGAGGGATTCAATCGGTTCAAAAGGTTGAAGGAACTCATTAAAACCTTCCTCAGTGATATAAAGAGATAGTTTACCTCAACTAGGTTCAATCTACTTTGTGAAGAAAGTGGATTTGCAGCTATTGTGGCAGAGATGGATTCTATCACAAAAAAAAGACTTGGGAGCTTGTGGATAGCTAAACCTGCTGGTGTTTTACATACAAGAGTATATAATAGAAAGATGGAAGTGTGTAACACGACTAAAGTTCCGATGGAGTCGACTTTAAAGTATCACAAAAGCTGAAGATGAACGAGAGATAAATGCTACAGAGTTATCATAAGAACCATATGATATTTAAGGTATTTGCTTCACACAAGACCCGACTTGTGTTACGCAATTGGCGCTCTTAGTAGATACATGTACAATCCAAGAGACTCACATGGACAAGATATCAAGCACATATTGTGGTATGTCAAAGGAACAACAAACTTCTGTTTGTTCTTCAAGAGAGATGGGTCAAGGTGCGTCGTTGGTTATAGTGGCAGCAATCACAAGATGTCGATGATGGGAGGAGCACATCAGGACATGCATTCTATTACGGTTCATATTAGTTACTTGGACACCGCATAAGCAAAAGACGGTTGCATTGTCATCATGTGAAGCAGAGTTCATGGCAGTAAAAGAAACAGTGAAGCAAGCTACATGGATCAAGGAGTTGTTGTGTGAGATACTAGGTGAAGAAGGCGAGAAGGTCACGGTTAAGATCGATAACAAATCAGCCATTGCTCTAACAAAGAATCCGATTTTCCATGGAAGAAGTAAGCACATACTTTTAAGATATCATTTCATTCGTGAGTGTGCGAAGAATATGCAAATTGAAGTGGAGCATGTGTCGAGTGTTGAACAGAAGGCCGAAATCCTTACCAAGTCATTGGCAAGTATTATGTTCAAGCTAATGAGGAGCTTAATTAGAGTTTATAAATTGATATCTCTAATTCAAGTTTGAATTAAGGAGATGATTGTTGGATAATTCCAAACTTGTAGAAACTTAACATATTATAAGATGTTTAATAAATTAAGTAATAAACACCAAAGAAAAAAATTTAAAATAGAAAAAAAAAGTTTTCTATTAGATTAGGTTTGTGTTTTTCATATAAATAGATGTTTAATGGAAAGATGTTCCATATGATCTAAGAGAATAGATCTTGTGATCTACAAGAAATATATTGAGTATTTTAGTTTTGAGAAATTTTTAAAATTAATAAAAAATTTATTCTTATAATTCTTTGTTTCTAAAATTTTATTGACCTTCCATTGTAGAACCCTCCGTTTTTTTCATTTCTAAACAATGTTATATTTAATTTTATGTAGACATTTGATTTGGACGATGACGTGACATGTGCATCATAACAGATATCGTACCCAGTTTGCGATGGATTCAACGGATACGCTTCGTATATATTTAAAGAAACGGAGTGGTCGTCGGCCTTAGCTATGGTCCTATGGAGATGACTGAGTTTTTTTTTCTTTTTGAAACTCATGGAGATGACTGAGTTTGTGCGTAGACAGAGGGATATTAATTAAGATTGTATCTGTTCAGAAGAATAATAATAACAGCCGCCTCGTCGAACAGTTCCTACATTTTAGATGCCCTAAATAAATAGAAACATGATGCCAAAAAAAAAAAAAAAAAAAAAATAGAAACATGATCTACCTTTTCTTTTCGAGAAAGGGTTTAAACATGATCTACTTTTATCCACAGTTTTTAACATAACCTCTTTTAAAATAAATAGAATATTATATCGATACACTAATTAATAATTATATTTGTTTTAAATGTATAAAAAATTATATAACATTGATAAAAAGATCTGATTGAAATTTAATTGACATGAAATTTAAAAAATGCTTAAGAGAAAGATAAATATATATATATATATATATATGAAAACCTTGTATTTAAGAAGTGTACGTATCTAAGAAGTATATAAATAAATATTTATGTAAGTAAATTATAGCATGAGTAGATTTTCTTAAAAAGAGTTGCATATAGGGCTGTTCAATATGGTAATACCGAACCGAACCGAACCAAACCGAAATAGACAATGTGGTTTGGATTTGGTATATACCATATAAACCGAGTGGATATGATTTTATAAAAACCGTAGGATTTGGATATGGTTATGTTTATAACCGATTAAACCGAATAAACTGAACAAAACCGATCAAAGAAAATATATATAAATATATACATTATATAACTATTTATTTTCATGGAATAGTCTTTTTTTTTACTTTTTTTATTTCTTGTGAAAATATATATTAATAATTTTATTTTATTTTCTTCAGTTATTATCTAAATTTGATTTGATTTTGCATGTTTTAAAAAATTGTAAAATTAGATTGTAACATGTAATTTATTTGGAAGAACAAACAGAAAATAAGAAAAAATATACAAAACTGAATCGTCGGTGGTTTTGTTTGTTGTTAATTTCACATTTTTATATTTATGAATACCTAGGATTATTTTAATAAATAATAGTTTTGACAATATGTTTTTTTTTTTAAAAATCATATAATAAGAAACCAAATCAAATAATAATGTTATTTGGTATAAAACCGAATAAACCGAAAACCGGTAGTATAAATACCGAACCAAACCAAATTAAATATGGTTCTAATATGGTAGCTAACTTTTATAAACCGAATAACCGAAAACCGAAAAAATCAAACCAAAACTGGACCGAACACCATATTGAACAGGCCTAGTTTGCATTGCATATAAAAGCTACAAAATGAAAGAATATTGAAAATGTTAATTGCTAAACTATTAAAAATCAGTTATGAGATACTCAACCTTAATGCTCATCACGCCAAGTATCATTTGCAAAATAGACACAAATTAATTTCCTAACATAATATGATGCCTAAACGAGTTTTTTTTTTTTCCTTTGCCTTTGGTTGACTTGTGTTATTTGGTTTACTTTTTACTCTAATCATTCATAAACATAAAAGAATTATCTCTACCAGGGCACATAGATCCCTTGGTGTGTGACTTAGGAAAAGCAAAAACATGCCCCCAGTGTTCATAAACTTCAGAGGCAAAGACGAGCGGCAGAAATTATTGCCACATCTCAAACATCATTTGAAAGACAGCAATGTGAATGTGTTCACGGACGACGACGCTATTGGAGAACCGTTAAAGAATCTCTTCAAACATATCAGAAGGTCAAGGATCGTTATCGTCATCTTCTCCGTTAACTACTTGGAGTCAGGGTGGTGTTTAGACGAGCTGGTTGAGATCAGGAAATGCTTAGAGACTGAGAAAATTGACTTCGCCATACCAATCTTCTATAAAGTCAAGACTTCTCACGTCAAGGAACAGAACGGAAAGTTTGGAAAAAAGTTTGTAGCATTACAGAAAAAGCATCGCAGTTCCAGGATCATAAAATGGAAGAAAGCTTTGAGATATGTAGCTAAATTAATTGGACTGACTTATCAGAAAAGAAGGTCCTGCATGGCCATAAGATTAGATTTTATATGATTTAAAGGGTTATTTGCTTTAACTTTTATTTTCTTCAGTTCAATTTCAGAGTTGGATTTCATCAGGAAGATCGTTAAAATGGTTGATTTAACTTTAACCAAAATTTCGTCAAAGGATGGTGATAATAATAAAAATAGTCCAGAGACGTCTAAGGTGTGTTTCTTAGTTCTGACTTCTGATCTACATTTACATTCCTTTGTCTAAAATCAGAGATGGTGGTTAATTTTTACAGGGAGAAACATCAAATCTAATTGATGTCAATAAGATGCTCAACTTATCAAGGACATTGGACACTCGGGATCTGGAAATATCTTATCGTCAAGGCTTCATAGTCGGCTCTACCTGGAAAGATGGTATCATTTCGTCTATGCAGAGCAGGAGCTACAATTGGGTCTCTACCCCTGACTTCGTCTTTGTGTCTGTTTTGTATCCTAGAAAATTTCTCACAAATATCTATGCTTATGACTTATGAGTATTATATACTCCACAGGGTGTTGCTTCGAGGCCTTTGTTGTCCCCTAATTTTGCTCCTTTCGTCCAAGTACCAACATGCTACAGGCTGTTGGAGCCTAACGTTCCTCAAGATTATAGACGAACATTCTCATATCACAACAATATATATCAATATCCCCCTTGGCCTCGTAAGTTCAGATTTTTGACATATACCTTGATATATCTTCTGGTTAGTGACTAAGGACTTCGAATTTTTAAATCGACAGATGCAACGGGTTTGAACCTATACCCTACCAGACTTCCTCCTCGAGGCTCTGTATTTAGTTTGTGTCGTAATAATGCGTTATCAGGAGTTTTAGCGAGTTTATTTCCGTCAAATTTTGACCAAGGCCCTACCATAGATCCAACAAGCATGCACGATGAAATAGTTTCGACATCTCATGATGCGGAGACAGAAGACATAACGAGTTTGTTAGAGAAGCTTGAGCTTGAACGAAGAAGATGATCTAACAAACTTGTAACAGTTTGTTTTGATGGATCTCAAAATCCATTTCGAATTTACGTGTTACGTCTAGGGTTTTGATAACGTGTATAAGAATAAATCCAAAAAAAAGAATATAAATTGATAACGTCTAGGCTGATGATGAATCTCCACATTCAAGCTTCCAGTAGTATCTTAACTCATAGCAGAACTCTGAGATAACATATGTCCAAATATCTCTCTCCTTGAGAATAGATTCCTATCTGATTGTGTGCTCTTTAGCTTTGGTGTCTCCTTGCTCATCTTCTTCCAAAGTGCATAAATAAACAAGAGGCAAATTTTTTTTCTTTTCAAATTCATTACAACAAGAAAACTTTTAATTATACCGATTTTTCTTATTATGAGAATCTTTTAGGATACCCCAATCCTAACTAAAACTCACTCTAGAGTCTATTTTTTTGTTTATCAGGATCCTTCAACCTTGAGGTATACTCTCCCTGAATCTAGCTTTTAATCTTAACACTCCGAAAGTATGTGGACAACTATGTCAACACTTAATTCAAATCAGTGATATCAAAATCTTGATCACACAAGCTCTAAACAAAGATCTCTCGGTTTTTCTTATTTCTCAAAGACTTCTTTAGAAGCACGATAAATTAATATACACTAAATCTATCTATCTATCTATATAAACTAGAGTTTCCCTCTTTTTCCTTAGGTCATGTCACTAAATAAGTGATTCTGGGTGCGCCACGTGCCAGACAACACTAATTCGCAGCGTTTCATTTAAGTTATTCTACGTACTGATGGGCACTTTCTATTTGGGCCTTACTTTTGCACAATTGACCCAGCCCGTCGAGCAGTTCTAAGTGTAAACGCAACGACGCGTTTTAATATTAGGGTTTGACCAGTTTCATCGCCTCCGTTCTTGATCGAGTCACATCCTGAGTTCTGATAGCGTTCTTTCTTCTTCTTCATATCAATGACAAGAGCTATCAGTTACAGAGCCATCCTATTAAATTCCTTCTTAAATTCTTTTATCCACGATCTACCTTGAATGCAAGCGTCGCTCATGCAAAGCAGTGGAACTGCAACTATAAAAAGAGTAACCTGGCTACTTGACGAAGATGGGTCATAGAAGTATATGTTATCTTCTGGAAAAAGGTCATTAAAGCCTTGAAAGCCAGCAGGCATCTTCCAGTTACTGGAAAGTTTGTGGTGAGTGTTTGTTTTGGCTTATTTAGTATCATTAGAATCCGTTTTTTAATTCTTTCTATAATTCTTTTTTGTGTTGTTCGCTTGATATTCGAGATCTCAAGTATACAGTTTGTTCTGTCGTGCACAGTTGGCATCTTCCATATCCCGCTGATATCGAAGGTAAATTTATTTCTTAGGAATTATAACGAACTTATGACTTATGAGACTTATCCTCTTATGGCTTCTCTATGAAATGGACGGACAGAACTCGATATATAGTAGGTGGTGCTAATATGAGAGGGTGGCCTGAGAAGATGAGCGATGATGAGCTTGAGATCGTCAGGAGTGCTGGTGTTGTGCTCTTTCAAAGAGAGATCCCTGACTCCATCAATATTCAAGTTGCTAAGCTTTGTATCAAGTTTTTAAATTTATATGCTTCCAATATTGATGTCATTCAAAGGATGCATCTTTAGGTTTAGATAAAGCAATGGTGTCGTGAATATATACTAGAATTTACAAAATCTTCTCATTCCCTCACTTGAAATCTCAGCTATACCTTCTTTGCTGGTTTCTTTATATTAGGTCACATAGATAACCTGTTACGTTTCTCTCATTTTAGTTCGTCTTCTCCACATATCTCATTTTATTGGTGGGACTTTATCTCCATAATTTAGCTTTATTTTATTTTAAAGAACTAAATTTTACCAATGATGTTGTAGTTTTATTTTTGAAAATTAAAGCCTACCACAAGTTTCAGTTAACTTTTACCAATCATGCTTTATTTTTATTTTTAAAGCTACAACAAAAAAATTAAAACAATTTTTTTTTCTTATATATTTTAGGTAAAATCTCTACATTTGTGTTTTATATGCTGCAAAACTGTAAAATGAAAAAAATATCTAAAATATCAAATAAATTAGATAATCATAATAAAAATATCAATAAATATTTAGCATAGTTTTGGGTGTTTTAAAAATTATTGCAATATTTTAAATAACAAATATTATTTACATATCAGATTTTAAATAACAACAAAGTTTGATAATTTATTAAAAATATTAATTAAAGTTATTTTAGTTGATATAAAATAATTATTTTGTATATACATAACATAATTCATAAAATTTATTTGAAATATCTACACCCAACAGTTTACAGTTACAACAAATTTAACTACAACAATTTATCTACAAAAAGTTTATCTACAAAAAATTATACACTAACAACCAACTTACTTACAGCTAATTTTTTATAGCCATAGTCAAAACAATCATCACCATTATTTCTTCTCCTAACTTAACAAATCTATGGACATCACTTTAGTATCCCAAGTTGTGATATATGGAAAGGTTTAAGAGAATGACTACCTATGTCATAAAAGTTGACTTACTTTTTCCCTCCCACATCCATTTAGAACTATATGGTTAAACGTGATTGGGTTATCCTGATCCTCACATGTATTAATATATATACATATTTCAATAACTAAGACTAATAAAAAACTAGTCTCCGTATATATCTCGATTAATCTTCGATTTTTCGATAACTCGCTAGGTCCGAAATCACAGCCCGACTAGCGTCTAGCATAGTTTTAAACATGGTCAAAACCCCTTAATAATAAATCCTAGACAATAATCACTTAAGCCTAAACCTAAATGTTAATATATTTTTTGATTGGTGATATTTTTGAAAATGATACTTAAGGTCTGGTATTTCTAACAATTTCTCAACAAAAATTCACCATCTTTGTCCATTTAATATAAAAAAATGGACAAAGTTGTTACATTTGTTTTGCTATAGTTGTTTCTTTTCCAATTGTTACGTTTGTTTTGCTATAGCTGTTTCCTTGCCTGATCCTCACATGTATTAATATATATATATATATATATATATATACATATTTCAATAACTAAATATAATAAAAACTAGTCTCTGTATATATCTCGATTAATCTCTGATTTTTCGGTAATTCTCTAGGCCTGGATTCACTGCCCGACTAGCACCTAGCGTAGTTTCAAACATGGCCCAAACCCCTTAATAATAAATCCTAAACAATAATCATTTAAGCCTAAACCTAAATTTTAATATATTTTTTTATTGGTGATATTTTTGAAAAGTGGTACTTAACATATGGTATTTCTAACAATTTCTTAGCAAAAGTTCACCATCTTTGTCCATTTAATATATATAAAAAAGGAGACAATTAGCTGGTAATACATTCTAAAACGCGGCCGAAGAACCCAATTACACGGCGCTGAAACGCTATCCGGAGGTGCTCCGCCGCGATTTCACCATCAAAAAAATGGTGAAAGTTTTTGATGGTGTTAAATCATTCAAATCTGACAGTTTAACCCTAAATCTATCATTACTAACGATGAATTGATGTTTAAATGAACAAATCGCCTAAAAAGTGATGGATTATGTTGGAAAAAAAATGATGGTGGCCGCAAAATAATTAGGGCTACAGATACATGTCGAAGAAGAAGACAGAGAAAAAATTATTTATTGCCCTTCATTAAGAAAAACAAAAAAATACACAAAATATGGGGGTACCGGACTTTAAACCCGCAACGTTAGACCTTTACACACTGATACGAACCGCTAGACTACGAAAGAACATGTGGTAAATTGAAGAAATATATTATATATAACCATAAGTCTGATATAACTTAAAAACAACATCTCCGACTACTCCTCGAGTTTTTCCGATTTCCTAATAAATCACTAAGCGCAGGTGCACCACAAACGTAGCGCCTAGCGAATTTCCGAACAAGGACGAAAAAACGATTGCAATATTAGCAATATACCCCACGCACTCAGAAACATGCAAATCCAATACACTTTTACTCCCCCTTGACGGTTTTGCCCCTGCCCCAAACAGTCATCATCTTTCTCTCTCTCTTTTTCGAGTCTCCATCTCTGTCATATATCTTTTTTTTCCAGTTTTGTCTCTTAAAAATAGATCTCTTCTCCACTTCAACGAAGTAGAATTTTTTTCTTAAACACGCAATCAATTTGCTCATCAAATCCTTTTACCATTACTTAATTGGTTCCAACATTAATCTCCTCATCTTCAATTCATATTCATCATCAATATCAAATCTCAGATACGTCAAAATTTTCTTCTTTAATCTATAAATCTCCCACCATAAGTCTGATATAACTTAAAAACAACATCTCCGACTACTCCCCGAGTTTTTTCCGATTTCCTAATAAATCGCTAAGCGCAGGTGCACCACACGCGTAGCGCCTAGCGAATTTCCGAACAAAGACAAAAAACGATTGCAATATACCCCTCACGCTTAGAAACATGCAAATCCAATACACTTTTACTCCCACTTGACGGGTTGCCCCTGCCCCAAACACTCATCATCTTTCTCTCTCTTTTTCGAGTCTCCATCTCTATCATATATCTTATTTTTTTCAATTTTGTCTCTTAAACATAGATCTCTTCTCCACTTCAACGAAGTAGAACTTTTTTCTCAAACACACAATCAATTTGCTCATCAAATTCTTTTACCATTACTTAATTGGTTCCAACATTAATCTCCTCATCTTCAATTCATATTCATCATCAATATCAAATCTCATATACGTCAAAATTTTCTTCTTTAATCTATAAATCTCCCACCAATGAATTCATATAACTTTTTATCTCAAGCACACAATCAATTTGCTCATCAAATCCTTTTACCATTACTTAATTAGCTCCAACATTAATCTCTTCATCTTCAATTCATATTCATCATCAATATCAAATTCAGATACGTCAAAATTTTCTTCTTTAATCTATAAATCTCCCACCATTGAATTAAAGATGGGAATTCATTAAAGATTCCGATTAGTTGCAGGAATCAACAATCCACAAAGAGAAAAATAAAATAGAAAACTCAAACGTATGTTATTGTATGTTAACAAAGGATGTTAATTGTTTAGAATTATCGTAACATATATAACGTTAAGCTTTAACAAAAAAATGTTAACATTAAATAATATATAAGTTAATTAGATAATGGTATGTACTTATCTGTAATATTAAATGAATTAAATCCAATAGGATATTTAACATATAATATATAATGTTAGATGTAGTTTTTGATTTATATATGATACAATAGTTGTTAGCCGTTAAGAATATAAAATTAACTAGGTAATTCTTTACTTAACATGGTAACTTATTTTGTAGCACTAAAAATCAATATATGACATCTACTTTGTCATTAGAAATAGTCCAATGTAATGAAAAGGGTGTTCTTTATTAGCAAAAGTGTACTGGCTGAACAGTTGAGAATGTAGTAGTTAAATAGATGTTGATTAAGTTAGACTGGTAACTTACTTTTGTAGCATCTAACAAACTTAGTATCAGGTAACGTCAACTATTTTATTAACTTCTTATCAACTATTTTTAAAAATGTCAACATGTGTTGTAACACATTAGACGGATTATAATACAAATCAGAGAAATTAACCCGTAATGCTTTATCAAATTTTAGTGGTCTCCTGCATCCTTTTCTTTTAGTTTCTTTTTGTTCCTCATGCAAATCAAATCAACAAAAATAACACCCCAACAAATATGGATCTCTTGATGGATGTCCTTCTCATATTAGGCGCATCATGTAGTCAACAGCCTCGTCCTCAACCTCGTCATCCCAAGAGAAATCTTGGTCACTGAATGTTGTGTTTTCGATGATGGATACAACTTTGTCCTGAAATATATAGTGTAACTGTTAACTTGCGTAGAAACGGCTAATAAAAATACTAACCCCAATAATATCAGTGTGAAGCATATAGTTGGTGTAAAATAAAAATATTTACATGCTAACGAGAAAATAATGCAAGGCACATAGTTAGTGATAGGTTTTGAATCTAAAAAAAACGCCTTTTAAAGCCATGGGACTTGTTTTTCCTTAACTCGTATGAACATAAGCGGAACAACTAAAACACCTTAAGTGATTTAACTCAGGTTTAGAACCCGACCACACTTCTTCAGGTAACTGATAATCATTGGCAGAATTTGGTGATCGGTTTATAATGTAAACCGCCGTTGATGCAGCTTCGGTTTCCACTCTTGTTTGATGATCTTCCCCTTTCCTCCATGTATAACCCTTCATCTTGTGACTTTGAAAGCTTTCCACTTTCAAGTAACTGTCGTTCCTTAGACCTAGCAGCTCCCGTCACTTCATTAATCTTGAGAGTGTCTCTGCCGTATTTGAGAGTCTCTTTAAGATGTTCATACATACGGGGAATTGAGTTTAGTAGCAGGATAGCTTGAACTTCTTCTGAAACATCCACGTTCAAGTTATTTAAGTCTGCTACTAACTTTAGAAAATCATCAACATTAGCATATGTGCCCTTGGAATCACTCATCTTGAATGTATAGAACCTATGTTGCAAGTAGATGTGATTCGGCAAAGATGTCTCCATGTACAACGTGTTTAAAGCGTTCCACATCGCAGCAGCTGTGTCACAGTGGCTGATCTTCCATAGAACTTGGTTACCTACGTTCAAAACGATTAGGTCTTTAGCTTTCTCCGATTTCTTGAGCTTTTCTGGATCAATCTTTGAACCCGTTGAATCTTCTCTTGTGTCCTTGGTCTCCCCTTCTGATTCCTCCGTAGCAGTCAAAAAATCCATCAGAAGTGTCTCATCAGTTAGGATTTCTTTTAGCCCTAGAACCCCAAAGTGAGCCAGCATACGAACTTTCCACAGTGAGAAGTCTCATGTTCCCTCGAACCGGTCCACCTCGATCCTCGTCTTACACATCCTTAAAGCTCCCGCAATCAAACCTGGATTGCTCTGATACCACTTGTTAGGTAGGTTTTGAATCTAACTTTATGCTCAAAGATCAATCGTATAATCAAACACTTCTCTTAATTTTATTAACTTCAAAGGTTTTCTCAAGAACACAAAATAGATCACAAGACAATTCTTATGCTAAGACAAACTTGATCTCTCTATCTCTCGTGTTCTCTCTTGTATCGGATAATTCTAAAAGCTATGACTACCTCAGTATATATAGTACTTGGATTTTCATATTTCCTATTGAGGTAACAATTCTATTGACCGACTTTCTTAACGAGAAAAGGAAACTAACGTTTTTCTTGTATTGGGTTATGTAATTGGGCTGGAAGATGAGATTGAGCCATATACCCACAGTTAGCGTCTATGATGTATGATAGCAAACGGTCCAGCTATGTTAAAATTAATGTTAACATATACTAGGAATGATACTGACCATGGAAACAATTTTCAGTCAAGAACCAATTTTCCATGGAGACAGCCAACGACGGTATGATTAGCAGTTTCGGGCAATGGCTAGCATGTAAGATGTAAAATACCAGCTATTAGATTATGTACCGTACATTCTTCATCTATATCTCTGTCGTATGCAAGGATTCACCGGATGTCTTTCAAACAAAAACCAGATCTCGCATTTTTTTTCACTAACATATTGACTGAAGCTTGAGGAAAATGATGGATTCTCTGATAAAGATATAACCTTTCAAAACGTCTAGTTCTGCAGAAATTCATCTCATATTCAAAGGCGATGAGAATGGATTCAATTCATTTTTGGTTTGTGATATGAGTTAACTTTCTCTGCTACCAGTTCTTCTCCAGCAATATAAACATATGCTTGGGGAGTTTGAACCTTCCACTTACAAACGAATAAGAATGTTAAGACAAGAAAATTTTGAATTCAAATAATGGAGAATACTGTTGTTTGCGAAAACAAATAAAATATTAGAGTTACTTACCGTACCGTCGAGAATGTCAAACGAGTTATAATGCAAATCAGATAAATTAATTAGCAATATTTTCTCAGACGTTAGTGCTTTAGTGGTTATTTTTCTCTTTTTTCTTGTGTTTATGGATCTTAAAGAGATAAGAGAGATGGAGAAGAAAGATTATTGTGTGAGCAAAAGATTTTAGATGAGAGATAGAAGCACAGAGATAGTTTGGGCAGGGGTGATAGTTTGGACAGGGGTAGTTTTAGGTATTAAAATTATTAGTATTGCTCATTTATGAGTTTTCTATGTATATGGAGCCTAATTACCGAAAACAAATTATCACATTTTTGGCGAAATTACCCTTTCCATTTATCATAATTAATGAAGTAAATAGTTTTATGAATATAAACATATAAAAAACAGAAACAATTGATAAAATACTTATGTACACAAAATGTTATTTTTGAATTGTAAAACTTGTTAAATTATAATTTAAAATTATATTCTAGAGAAATAAAATTTCATCTTTTTCGGAAAAGAGCATGATAATTCTAAATATGAAGAATGTGAAATTTATGCATTTCAAAGGTAGTTACATTTATTCTGAAAGTATTTTTTTTATTTTTATGAGAGTTCTAACTTCTTATGAATACAAAATCTAGTCACAACTCAAAAGTTTACATAGAATATAATTACGTATTAGTTGTATATTTTCTATGCAGTATATAAATTACTTTCTACGGATAAGAAACAACAGATTTATGAAAAGATGAAAAGTTCAGTTATGAAAATATTTGTAATCTTTTTATTTTCTTAAAACGTGTATAGGTGTTTTTTGTCAAAAAAATATTAAAAAATATCGAATTAACCTCTTGTTCTTCATCCAACCATGATCTCTCCATAGTTTTATATTTTTAAAAAAATATTATATCCTTTTATTTTAATTAAAATTTTCAAAATATGATTTCCTTTTATTTTTTAATATTAATATTATTTGCTTTTATTTTAAAATATTATTTCCTTTGATTTTTATCTTTAAAAATATATTATTCCCTTTTATTCTAAAAATATTTTAATTTTATTTCCTTTTACTTGTAATTAAGAAAATTTAATATCTAAAGTAATTAAAAATTATATTTCATTTATTAATCAAGGGTTAATTTTGGGATTATAAAAAGGATTATACTATAGAGACAAACTAATAATGGTTTTATAGTTAGAGAACAAATATGGTGAATTTTTGTTCTCTTTTGGAAAATTTTCCAAATTTAAAAGAGTTGTATAGAAACTATAGAAAATAAAATATCTGAAATAATTGCTTAACTATAACAAATAAAAGAATCTGGGTGTTTTGTTGACTTTCTACACTAATAATTTTCAAACTTTCTTTTTGGTCAGCAATGATTTTCAAACTTAAAAGCAGTATCTCTAACAAGGCACATAGATCCAAGTTGGTGGAGGAGATGTGGAAAAGCAAAAACAGGCCTCAAGTGTTCATCAACTTCAGAGGCAAAGACGAGCGGCAGAAATTAATGCCACATCTCAAACATCATTTGAAAGACAGCAATGTGAATGTGTTCACGGACGACGATGCTATTGGAGAACCATCAAAGAATCTCTTCAAACATATCAGAAGGTCAAGAATCGTGGTAGTCATTTTCTCAATTAACTACTTGGAGTCAGAGTGGTGCTTAGACGAGCTAGTTGAGATCAAGAAATGCTTAGAGACTGAGAAGGTTGACTTTGCCATACCAATCTTCTATAAAGTTAAGACTTCTCACGTCAAGAAACAGAGCGGAAAGTTCGGCAAAAAGTTTGTAGCTTTGCAGGAGAATTATCGCAATTCCAGGGTCAGGAGATGGAAGAAAGCTTTAAGATTCGTAGCTAAGTATGTTGGACTGACTTATCACAAAAGAAGGTGTGGTTTTAATTTATTTATTTTTATCACAAAGGGTTTGGTTTTATTTATTTTTTTGTTAAATGAAGGTGTGATTTAAGACATGATAAAAATATTATATTATCATATATATATATATATATATATATATATATATCTTGCAGTTCAGTTTCAGAGTTGGATTTCATCAAGATGATCGTGGAAAGGGTTGATATAACTTTAACCAAAATTGCATCAAATGAAAATAATGATAGTCCTCCAGAGACGTCTACGGTATGTTCTTTGTGCTGCCTTCTGAGATACATTTACATATTGTAGACATCCATCTAAATGATGTATCCAAATACAAAAACGAACATGATCTTAGTGATTTTTCTTTTCTCTAGAATTAACATTGTGGCTGAATCTTTACAGGGAGAATCATCAAATCTGACTCTTGTCCATCACTTAAACAAGATGCTCCCCTCGTCAACGACAATGGAATCTGTGAATCTGGAAAGATCTTATCTTCAGGGCTTCATGTTTGGCTCTGCTTGGAAAGATGCTATAAACTCGTCGGCGCAGAGTAGCAGAAACAGTTTCATGACTTTTCATCCTGCAAATCCTCTTCACTATAGGGCCTATAATTGGGTGTCTACCTCTGTGTCTCCTGAGTTTGTTCTATTTCTATAATATTTCTCACGTTTGATATGTGTGCTTATGTGTGTGACTTCACAGGGTGTTGATCCTAGGCCTTTTTGCTATGGCCTGTTGGAGCCTAAGACTCAATATGAGTCATATGACCACTGGAACTTTTGGAAACTTCCGCTTCCTGATGCTGAGGAGGAGCCAGAAGAACTAACGAGTAGTGTTTCATTGGATTTCGACCAATACCCTACCATAAATTCAACAAGCACACACGACTATACAGTGTCGACATCGCATGCTGCGGAGCGAGAAGACAAAACGAGCTGTATTTCATTCTTGTGTAGCTGTTTCAACCGTTGTTTCTCTCTTATATGGGGAGCAAAAGAAGATGACAAAGACTAGTCAACGTGAACCTTCAGTTGCCACTTGCTAGGAATTGAACTGCTTCTCGTACTTGTACTTGTGCCATAAGCAAAAGCCTCTGTTTTCTTTTTCTAAGAAAAGTTTATGATTACTGATCATCCTCTACCGGTGATTGTTGTCTGCAAATGTAATACCTTATTGAGGGTGTAACTATATGGATTTTACATCGTAGAAAGTTGATTTATCAGATAGTCTGTGTGTTATATATGTTCGTACCATGCAGTTTGAAAATTAAAAACACCAACACAAATGGATCAATTATTTGGATTTATGGACCGCGTTGATGTCATATTATATGAAATATATCATTTTTCAAAAATGAATGAGACAATGAAAGATGATGTCGGGAAAAGAAAAAAGAATAAGACAATGAAAGAAGGTTGACAACAATATACTATACGATAAAGTAAGACTCCATGGCTGTAATACTATTTGTTTAAAGACCAAGAGACCAAGAACTCCATATAAACATCTACTTAGACAACTTGCTCTATGATGACAGGTTTCTTTTTGTCCCTATATAAAAGTGGCACATCAAATGTGTTTGCTTAATGTAGCAGTTTAAGATGCAAAAGGAGACTGAGACTCGTCAAAACAATAATATATCCCTTGCTGGAGATCATTATCTTTTATATACAATACATTTTTGTATAGATTTTATATCGTGTAAACAACAAGCTCTACAGAAAAATATGTCTCAAGTGTGGGAGAGTTATGTTGGTCCCTCAATTTCATTAGTACCACATAAATGGACCCATGAGCTGATGTGTACTTACTAACCCCTTTCTGGACATCTGATAAGAGATATCGAATAATAACATTTTTTCCCTCAATTTCATTAGTACCACATAAATGGACCCATGAGCTGATGTGTACTTACTAACCCCTTTCTGGACATCTGATAAGAGATATCGAATAATAACATTTTTGGTGTATTGACTTCAAAATGTAACCGATTTAAACACTATAATTAGATTTTGACCCGCGCTTTTAAAGCGTAGGATTATGTTTATTGATAAAAAATTTAATATGTTTGTTAGTTCATAATATAAATAAAAAGACCTATTTGTTCAATCCATTCCTATTTGATGAATTGAAATAATCCATAAAAATGCTATTTGTGAAAATCTTTACTTATTAATCTTAGATTGGTTTTGAAAAGTCGATTTTTAAACTTTTTAAATATTAATTTAAAAATAATTAGAACTTTAACATCTATAAAAAATATAGTTGACTAAGCACATATATTTATTAGATTTAATTAATATCAATTTAGAAAATAATTAATTTAAACCATATCAGATAAAAATTATTATAACATAATTTTTTTATTATATATTTCATAATATTATCTAATTTTTTGACCTATCTATATATACAGCAAATGAAATTTTTCTATTGCAAACAATCATATTTAAGAAGGTTAACTTCTTTTTGTATATATAAAGAACAAATTTTTGGCCCGTATATATATTAAAGTTTCTTTAATATTTAATTTATTTTGGGATTTTGGGTAACCAACTATTAGACTATAAAGTTTTTGTTTCAAATTTTGAATTATTTTAAATTTATAATTTAAAGAGTTGTTTTGATATATGATGATGATGACTAAAATATCATTTGTACATTATAGTTGAATTTTCAAACGTAAACCATAAAAATTAGGACATTATCCTTTGGTATATTATTTGGTGATGTATCAAATGTACTTTGATGCACATGCAGATAATGACTCTAGTAACTTAGTTGGTAAAATATAATAATTTATTTGATGATATATATTTCGTAAAGTTTTGTTAGAATTTAGTTATATAGTTAATATTTAGTCATTAGGTGTTACAATAAAAAGAAGTATACATTTAATATTCATGTCAGTAGGTGTTATAATAAAAAGAGATACGTATATTTTTGATTTACTCAACGAATACGTATGAAGCATAGTTTTTCAACAACCTTAAAGTATAATAAATGAGTATGGCATAGTCAATATGTCGACAATATGTCGAGAGATATATAGGTCATGTACATATTAACCATAGTCAACAACATTACGTACTATTAATTGGTTATTGTTGATTAGTTCGAGAGAGATATAGGTCGGGTAGTTAATCTCTTTTCATTTCAGTTTTTTTCTTTAATGATTTTTTAATTATTAGTCAAAACTATAATGGGTATAACATCCGTAACAATTGTATAGTTAGAAGACTAAAAAATAACTAAATCTAATGAAAGAATCCAACAACTTTGTTTAAGTAGATTTTTGAAGACTCCTTCCCCTTTAATAGTATTGACTAGATTTTGACCCGCGCTTGAAAGCGCGGAAATCTATTGTTGATTAAAAGTTTATATAATTAGGTTTTGTTTTTATTTAAAGTATGTGTTAGTGTAAAATCAATAATCCAAAATTTGTGGTGATGATTGTTTTGCATTAGTTTTTAGTTTCAGTTTTTATTTTTAGATTTGGTTTTAGATTTAGTTTTTTGATTTTTAATTTTTAAATTTCTAGTTTTGATTTTCAGCTTTTGGTTTGGGTGTTTAGCTTTTAGATCCGCTGAGTTAGTTTGAACTCATAACTACCAACAAACGAATCCAAAGAATCGAACATCTAATTTAAAACTGAAAAGGTGACAATTTTTATTTAAAAAAATTGCAATAGTTTATTTTGTAAATAAAAAAAACAAAAGCAAAAATATAACATGCATTTTCAGCTTTTGGTTTTGGATTTTAATTTTTAGATTTGGTTTTTAGTTTTGCTTTTCATTTATTTTTTTTAAATCAGTAAATTATTTAAGAAAAATAAAATAAATAAACTATTATAAAAGTTACCATTGAAAATTATCAAGACAAAGTGATTGTTATTAAAATAAAAAAAATATTAACATGTTCTAAAGTACATGATTTAAATAAATGATTAATAATATAGAATTTTGTTTTGTTAAAATATTAAATACTTTTGAGCCTTAAAATAGTAATTGATTTTTTGATCCATTAAGGTAGAACATTTATTCAATGTTTTTTTGGAGTTTTGTTTTTAATTCTAAGCCCATAACCCAAACTATATACTTTGTCATAAATATAAAAGTAAGTCCAAAACTATATTCCATAAATAATTGTCAGTTTAATTTAAGTATTGATGATATACTTCTCCTTCTTCATTTTTCATCTACAAAAAAAAGCACTGCCTTACTCTTCAACACCACCGTCAAACACAACCCAAATGACGAACTTCTCTCCCTCATGGAAACGTGATCAAGTGTTCATCAGTTTCAGAGGTAGTCTAAGAAAAAATTTAGTCTCTAAAAGAAAAACTAGAGAGGAGCAATATCAATTTTTTCATGGACGAGTGTGAGACCGTTGGGAGTCCAATCACAATACTCTTTGGACGTATCAGAGAGTCAGGTGTTGCACTCATCTTCTTCTCAGACGAGTACCCCGAGTCATGCTGGTGTTTAGACGAGCTCGTTGTTATCAAGAAGCAAATGGAGTTAGGATCTATTGTCCCTTTTCCAGTGTTCTACAAAGTGAGAGCTACCTCCGTCAAGACTCAGACTGGTTGCTTCGGCAATACTCTACTCAGAACTGAAGATCTTGTCCGCAAGAAAGTTGATCAGGGAAGCTGCAAGTCAATACTTTTGATTAACGGTTTGATCTGGAAAAGGAGGCAAGCTCTCGTCTCTATTGGAGGAAGAATAGGGTTTTCACATAAACATACGACGGACGGTGATTTCTAAAAAAAACTTGTGGTCAAAGTTAAGGAACTAGTAGAGAAAATTTCCTCTCCAAGAAATGATCTTACAGTAGTCACAGAGAAGCCTCTGGTGCATCCTCGGGAAGCAGTAACGTCGCTGTTACATCCTCATATGATGGTGCCGTTTCCCTTAGCACTAATCATCTGGTGATTTTTGACGTAAATACTCTTAAGAACCCTGTCCTTACTCAGAAACTAACCGAGACGGGTCAAACTGGAAAGACTCTCTTGGTGTTTGTTAGGTTCTCTGGAAGACAACTGCAGTCAGGTTTATTTCTTAATCATTCAAAGTTTCTTCTCCCTGGTTGTTTTATTTTTAATTCTGCACACTACAAGAAAATTGAGTATTCATTGCGACGGAAAAACGCTATTGTACGATACCATAGCGTTATTAGGTACGCTGTATCATCGGCCGCGATAATAGGTTTGACACTTAATATAGTGCTTTATGCTTCCGCTACAGTATGTTTTAGTTAGATAGCACTTTCCGTTTTGCTATTTAAATTGTTTAATATAGCAATTGTATTTCGTTATTGATCTCATGTCATATATTTTTACAGAATTTTTTTGTAGCGTTTATATTTCCAATTAATTTAAATCCGAAATATACAAAAAAAAATATTAAAATGAAATTTAATAATTAAAACTAATTTATTAAAATTATAAGTCTACAGTTCCATTTGACATTCAAGTACAACAAAGATCAAACAACACAAACTTTCCAAACAAAGCAACAGAGTTTTGAAATCCAAAGCAAAGACACATAGTTTTGAAACATACAAACATCAGACAAATTTTACTTTGTCATCAGGCCAAGCCACAGTGGTACCTAGAGCATCGGATATGAATTCCACTTCTGCATTTGGTCTCCAAACTCTTGCGTCTCCAATCTTTGCCACTAGAACGAAAACCTTACAAGCATTTTCTCCTAATGGGACAAAGTGTACTCTATCCTCTGGATTTGTGGAAACTAGACGACCTTCAGCCACAGTCTTACCTGAGTTTAAGCAATCCAACAAGAGGCACTTCTTCTCTGGACTTGATTTTGCTGTGTCCAAGCTGTTACTAACACTCTATCACCCAAAGTGGCAAATAAAAGATAAGACCGGAGTTAATAACAACCACAACACATCTATTGAATGTTCCAAAAGCTTACCCGAGGTGAAGAGGATAATGATGACACTCTAAAAGGTGACTGATTAATGATATCAATCTTCTGAATTGGCCAAGCGATACTGAGATGAAGTGCATCAGCAACTGTTGTCATCTCAGGACTTGGTCTCCACAGAAAAGCATCCTTCTTAATGACCTTTTCAATCTTTACAATGGCAGCATTGGGTCCAAGGGGAATATTGTTGACCAATTGCTTTGGATCA